ATGAATTAGTAAACATTATAAAAAGTTGATATTTTGGAAATTCACATTAATAGAAATTCAATAACATTTTATACTTAATAATTTGATTATGTATATTAGTAGAAAATTGTGGTCAAAGTAAAGTCTGTGAATAGTGCAAAAATCATAATGTTGCAAGAATTAAAGAAGGGAGGGAGTATAACGATCCTCAAATTAATGATACGAATAAAGGAGAGTTTCTGTACAAAAACAACAACATTGGCAAACCGTTTCGAAATGGAAAGACTAAAAACAAGTTGTCATTTCGAGGATAGCATACACGTATTAATGAAATATAGAAACAAGTTGTCATTATATGGAGATTTTGACTATGTTTTAGTCTGGATACAATTTCTTTTATAATTATCTAATCATGACTTTCCAACACCCCTCCCCCACCAACAGCCTGCGAGAAGAGGTATATATAAATTCATACACGGACTTCTAATTATCCAAATTCTTATCTTCTCTGTACTTAGCTTAATTAATTCTCTTTCTAAAAAAACATATTTGCAGCGAAAAGGGACTTAGGGAGATGGGAAATTGTCTGAATAAACGGGGATCGTCATCCATGGTGTGGGCTGCAGAAGATGATGAGGATGAGTGGGAATGGGAATCGCAAGAAACGAAAGCTCAGAAGACTGACAATGGAAATAGCAGCAGGTTGGTGGTAGGCGGCGGAGGTGACGATAAAAACAGTAGCGCCGCCGCGCCGTCTACGTCGTTGAAGATCACGATCTCAAAGAAGCAGCTCGAGCAGCTGCTTGGGCTGGTGAGAAAAGGGGAGAATAGCACTTGTAATCAAGAGGATCAAATGCTCTTAGCAAGATTGTTGGCGGATTCCGGTAGTAGTACCGATCAGCACGGCGGAGATATGGTGGTGCGCCAACGATCATGGAGGCCGCGTTTGCAAAGCATTCCCGAACTCAATTGAACATATTCAATTCATGTACATTACATACCTATAGTCATCGACGTGTAGGCTAATTGCTTGAATTGGTTGATGATGAATCTGACTATTATTGGCGAGATTGTCATTTGTTAATTAATAGTCCATCCAGGTTGTTGTATTTAATTTTAGCGCCAGATTTATGAGTAATCTGATTTTTTAATGTATGTTCGTGTTAATCTTTCAAATTCATTGAGATATGCAATGTCTATCTATGTCAAGTTGGAGTATGATACCAAAGTAAGATGATGCCAAAGAAAAATTGCAGTCTATGCAATTTTCGACCCGATTTTTATTATCGTTCATCCTAAAACAATTTCTTTCGTTTCAGTACAAGGGTTAGACAGTATATTTGACATCTCCTACCTCACTGTAAGTTAGAGCCTTTGTGGCATTGTGATCGATAATACGGTTACTGTTTTGTTTGTTTCGTTTGCCCCATACACTAAGATTGTCCAATACTAAATTTGATGGCATATGGGTACTTGTAAATCGGAGTGGTCACTTATTTGTTAAGAGGTAACTGTTTTGAATTATACTAATAAAAAACAATAATCAAACCTTGGAGAACGAACATTTATTTAATGAATGTACAAATGAACCTATGAAAACTTCAATTCCTCCGATCATCCGAGAATCATATATAAAAATAAGTAGAAAAATGAATTTCTGGAGAGGCAATTTTCTAGGCATTTCTTTGAAAATAAATTGTCCGGGTCAAAAAGCGACATGGAAACACATAAAGACTCATGATTCGGTTCAAGTAGGTAGTCAATCACACGGTTATAGATAGTATATGATAAAAAGATTTTTTATCCAAGTCATACCTTTTATTGTTAATTCCCAACAACATTCATAGGAAAAAAGAAGTGGATAGAACCCAAAAATCTAGATTAAGTTGACCTTTTAAGGCACGCTAAGTCAAATGACATCATCTTTACATTTAAAAATTCAAATGGTTAAATTAGTTTACCCTTTGTTTACATCACATGATGACAAAAATAAAAAAGAATAACTTTGTATATGTAATATTGATCTGATCATAAAAAGTACTCCCTAATAAATTTTGATGTATTTCTATATAAAAAGTTGAATTATGTTATTACCAAAAAAAAAAGTTGAATTATGAATAAAACAGTATTTGCTTTTTCAATTCATACATTACGTTACGTTCAACCTAGCTCATACATTGCACTTAGTATTATGCAAATACTCCCTCCATCCCGGATAGAATTTGACGTTTGGTTTTGAGATGGTATTTGAGGAGTGCAATCTTTATACCAAGCTTTCCTATCTTCCCATTATAGTATCAATGATTCTTTCATTCCCTTAGCTTCATCGCTTTCTGCCCAAATTTACTGCGGAGAACTTTCTTGACATTGGATCAACTGTAATTCGTAGCAGGATCGAGCAAGTAGACAAGTAGTAATCCTCACTACGAAGCCACTCTCCGTTCTATGAGCTGAAGCCGAAGGAATTTTCTTCTTCCCAACCTTCAATTCACTGCTCTAACACTGAAATTTATTGGTTAACATCTTTCAACTATAAATTGCAATACAAGAGCAGAAGAAATCAATACTCGTAATACATCATGTTCGCATGAAATACCAATTCTTCCGATTCCGATACAGGCAAATTTACAATCCCTTAGGAGGCGTTTACTGCTGCTAAAGTCACAGTTAGGTTAGTAAGACAGATATAGTAAACGCCGTTGCTTAAAAAGCCGCTTGCTAACCGAAAGAGGTGCTTAAAATGCCTCTTACTAAGCATAGCACCCCCCATGTATTAATTAAGCGGCACTTTAAGCTTTTTCAGTTTCCGAATTTACCCCTTGCCCTTACCCTATTGTTACCCTGCTACCCCCACCCCGCCCAACCCTACTACCTCAAACCCAGACCTCGCCTGACGAGCACTTTGTCACGGTGCGTCAAAATAAATTCGATACTAACACTTATACATAGAATAGGTGAAGTAGAGTTTGCATTCACAAAGAAAGGAATAATTATCTTTTTAAATGAAACAAGTAAATAAAGGGGGGTTTTGATTGAGTGATTTAATTTAATTAAACACGGAGATGAACGACTTATATGAGATTTAATTCAAGAATAAAAGAGTCTTGGCATTGCTACTTTAATTTCCACTTGTTGATATATTTTAGTCGATCATTGTTATATCTATAACGTATCCCCTCTCAAATACTCAATCGATGAGTATCTCCAATTTATCGAGGGTAGTTATTAACAACGACCGTTCATTAATAACTCTTAATATTAATCAAATATAGAACAACGCTGTATACCGATTTAATAGTAGCATTTAATCTCTTAAACTCCTTGATGAAATCAATTCAGATTGATAACCTCAACACAACGGTTTCGGTTTAACCAACAAAATTAATCCCTCTTAAGTTTATTAACCACGACCGTGCATTAATAAACCGAAGTTACTTGTGAAACCATCAACGATTAACCATCGGTTCGTTGGTCGTTTCTAGTAATAGTTAATATCAGAACGTTAACTAATCGTCACTTAGCAACCCTCCAACATTAATATAGAATGAGATTAAGGGAAGAATTAATAATCAAGAGAAGAAGTTAAGAAAATAACTCACAACTTTAATAATCAACAAGCTTCAGGATTAATAATCCTGACCGGATCATTACTCTATATATATATATATATATACTTGTGTTCATTAATGTTTGTGTATCTATATATGTATAGGGTTATTTTGGATATTTTAATGTTAAACGGTGTTTTAAACCCTACGAAGTAACCACGATCTTACAACATTGCTTATTTTATGTACTGTTTATTAACGCGGATCTTAATAAGCACCGTGTACTAACCGGTGAAGTAAACATGTCCTTAGATTTTTGTTCTAACGCTGCCTAAATCGGTCCATGGAGATAATCTGTGCCGAGTATATCATCTAATGACTTTCGATTTCGAATTGTTGTTTTTGAGAATTGGATAACTATGTAATATTGTTGGATGGAGAAAATAGAAACAATGGAGAATTTGAAAAGGCCAGTGTTCGTGGTGAGCGAGACCAAGGATGTCTTCTTTTGGAATGAAATTTGCTGGTCTAGTCTGGTCTGGCCTGATCTGGTCTAGTCTGGTCTGGTCTGATCTGGTCTAGTCTGGTCTGTTTAAGTCTGGTCTTGTCTGGTCTAAACTGGTCTGGTCTGATAAACTTCTGGTCTCTTTGTATTTTATAACTATCCAGGTCAGGTCTGGTCTGGTCTGTTTAAATCTGGTCTGTTTAAGTCTGGTGTGATCCGGTCTGGTCTGGGACTGAAAACAGTTCAAAAGAAAACATTCCAAGAGCCAAACCAATGAAGAATTAAACTTTAATTTAGGAAGAGTAGTGAGTGGGTAATAATAGTGGCCAATTAAAATGGGGATCGCCGGATGAGTAGTGAAACGTAGTTAGGATAATTTAGAATGTTTTTACTTGGATTGTAATTTGTCCCAGACCAGACCATACCAGACCAGTCCAGACCAGACCAGTTCAGACCAGATCAGATCGACCCAGACCAGACTTGGATAGTTATAAAAATACAAAGAAACCAAACCTTATCAGACCAGACCAGACTAGTTCAGATCAGACCAGACCAGATCAGACCAGACCAGACTAGACCAGCAAATTACAGTCCAAATAAAAACATCCTTAATTTGAAAAGGATTACCAAAAGGGGAAAAGTAAATATTTAAATGGAATATCACACAAAGGAAAGATTAATAAAAGACAGTATATCAAATTTTAAATATGAGCATATAAATCCTAAAATGGGAATGAAACATTGAAACATAGAAACTTCCTAAGAAAAAAAAAAACTTTGACTAAGAGGTGAAAGTGTAATTTTTTTTTACATAGAAACTTCCTAAGAGGGGAATGCTATATAAAAACTTTTTGACTAGGTTTTAGTCACAATACAATTTCTTTTATATAATTATTATGTAATGATGACTGTCAAACATCCCCACCAATAGTCTGTGAGAAGAGGTATATATAAATAAATTCATACACGGAGTACTAATTATCCCAAATTCCCAGTTCTTATCTTCTCTATACTTGGCTTAATTATTTCTCTTTCTAAAAAAAAATAGCTGCAGTGAAAAGGGACTTCGGGAGATGGGAAATTGTCTGAATAAACGGGGATCGTCATCCATGGTGTGGGCTGCAGAAGATGAAGAGGATGAGTGGGAATGGGAATCGCAAGATAAGAAAACTCAGAAGACTGGCAATGGAAATAGCAGCAGGTTGGTGGTAGGCGGCGGCGGTGACGATAAAAACAGTAGCGCCGCCGCGTCGTCTACGTCGTTGAAGATCACAATCTCAAAGAAGCAGCTCGAGCAGCTGCTTGAGCTGGTGAGGAAAGGGGAAAATGGTACTTGTAATCAAGAAGACCAAATACTTTTAGCAAGATTGTTGGCGGATTCCGGTAGAAGTACTGATCGGCACGGCGGAGATATGGTGGTGCGCCAACGATCATGGAGGCCGCGTTTGCAAAGCATTCCCGAACTCAATTGAACATATTCGGCTGTTCTTAATTGCTGTGCATACCCTATAGTCATCGATGTGTAGGCTCATTGGTTGAATTTGTTGATGATGAATCTGACTATTATTGGTGAGATTGTTATTTGTTAATTAATAGTTGATGCAGGTTGTTGTCTGTAACTTTAGCCCAGATTTATGAGTAATCTGATTTTTTTAATGCATGTTCGTATCAATTCTTCAAACTCATTGTCTAATACTACCTCCTTTATTAAATAAGTGCAACATTGATGTATTAATATATATTTTTGAAAAAAATATTACCAAATATGTCTCATTGTAAAATTTATATTTTACTAATAGAAAGTTATATATATTAATGGTCAAAGTTGTGTCTCGGCAAATGTGAAACGTTGATTGTTGCACTTATTTAAGAACAGAGGTAGTACGTAGTAGTACCAGTCTCCCTTTGTCCCCATGCAAGATCCACATGGATTTGGTGCAAGTTTTAAGAAAAAGTAAATGATACTCCCTCCGTTTTAAGAAAAAGTAAATGATCTCGGCCTCAAAGATTAAGGAAGTGGTTGAAAAGGTAAAAGTTGTGGTTGAGATTTGAGTAGAAAAAGGTGAAATGATGTGGACCACATATTTCTTTCCAAAAAGGGAAATGTGACTATCAATTTGGGACGGCCCAGAAAGTAAATACGAGATCATCAAATTGGCATGGAGGGAGTAAATGATAAAGTAGAAAAGTAAAAAGTTGGAATCCAATTTAAGAAAGTATTCATATTTTCTTAAAGGGAAAATGGTCAACTAAGGTCTTCTACTATTACAAATCGCCATATAAGGTGATGCAGTCAATAAAATGTCATATAAATACGTCTTGTAACACCCCCTACCCGGCCCGGAAGGCTCGGGCAAGGGAGCGCTACCCGCAGTGCCGGAGCACCAAAGCGTTGAATGTCTTTTCCATTCCTTTTTATTATTTCATGAATACTTTTATTTTTAAAAAGAACTAATGATAGTAACTTTATGAAATAGTAGTTTTATGAGAGTTTATAATTGCGTAAGCATCCATATTGTATACATAACAGGAAAATACTTAGTTTTGCTATTACACTATACTAATATGTTAAATACATATTTATTATGCAGACTGAAATTGAAATATTACTAATATTCATGCAAGTGTGACTCGCTGATTGGCAGGTTGCTCTCAAATGTTTTCCTCCTTCAGCTTTGACTCAAATCGACTATGTACCTACGCGAAAAACAAAAATCCAACGTGCTAAGCAAATCTTGCTTAGTGGTGTTCATTCTTTCTCCATACAATCTCAATATAAAATATCACATAATAAATCAACAAAAAATGACATTTCAAATGTAAACCATACATATGGAAATGTATACTTAGACAGAATGATTTTACCCGTATATAATTCTTAGAAAAATCCTTTTTGTTCAAACTAGCTAGCTATTTCAATTTATTCCCTTTTGTCCAAATTAGTTACTTTATGTATTTCAAAATGTACAACATTCTGATTAGGAGTACTCTACTCTTTAGTTGGGCTGTTAATAACCCATAATTCTCTCTATAGTTTATAAGGGAATATTCATAGCATATTTTTCTTTTAGCTTAAATTCATAACTTAATTCATCAGCATGTGTTTATCTCGTTGTCTCCCATATTCAATATTAATTGGCTTAATTCATAAGAATAAATGATTTTATGGACAAAATATCATCCTTCAATTGAAGATAATGTTACATTCTCTTATCGTCGTCTTTCAATTTCATATTCATATTATGCTTTCATTTTCTAAATTTCTATGCGTACACTTTTCATCAATTCTTTTGGCCTCCATTTTCACATCACCGTATCATAATCGAATTCAATATTCCATTTCACATTCCTCTGGTCTCACTTTAATTTCATTTGCTCAATTCTCATCTTTTGCTCAGGTTCATTCTCCATCATATTTTCCTGTTTTCACACTTCTATCTTTTTATCACATTTCTGGAATTCTACTCCTTAGTTTAATGGACTAGATAAATGGGGTGTTCTCATCTTTGGTACTTTCCACTCGGTGGCTACGGACCATCAGAGAACTATTTTGGCACGGACCACTCGGTGGCTCTGGCCGGGGTTCATTTGGGTACTGTCCACTCGGTGGCTACGAACCGTAAACGAACATATTTGGGTACTGTCCACTCGGTGGCTACGGACCCGTATATATAGGAGCGTGCGTGTATCAAATATCAAGATTTGGGTGTTGTCCACTCGGTGGCTACGGACCCGAAATCATTGATCAAATTCTACGGCCGTGTTTTATCCCTATTGGCATGCCAACCTATCCAAATACAGAAACAAGGTTTCAAATTCCATTGGTTTTTATCCAATTAAATTCAATCTGTCCTTGCTATTGCTATAAATATAATTTTCTAGTTCAAAACAATATCATTATAATCAACTTAATAGATTACTTATGACATAATGATGTTTTAGATGGGGTTACGTACGTAATTAAATACATTTTGCTCATCTCTTCAATATATATGTCGAATATAGATTTCTCAGTGTGTGGAATTGACTATTATTAGTCTCACCTCGAAATAACTATCTATACGTATGCATATAAGGAACATGCATACGTAATTAGCCTCATCTAGACTTGATGAGGAACATGCTCAAAAAATTTCATCAAAAAATTCCACCGGGAAGGTGCCCAAACGGGCTCGTCCGGACGGGGCAGCCCGTCAGGCCGGCCTGATGAGAAGAGCTCTCTCTTATTATAATCATATACTTTAGAATTCTATCTTATTATAATCACAATAAAGTTTAATTTTTATTAATTTATTTTGCTGAATATGAATATCCATCATTTTAAAAGTAAAATTTCCGATTTTTTTTCTTTAATTAGTATATTAATTATGAATATTTTTCATTAATAAAACCTGCTCTTTAGACTGTTTGGTAAAAGAGACCGGACTTTCTTCTATGTATACACATTTCGTAATATAATTCTAGGCCATCTTCAATGAAATGATACTTTATCTCTACATGTACTAATTAATGGTATAAACTTCACAATAAAACTTTGAAGTACAACAATGTGATATAACATAAAAACTTAATGAGGAGAAGGGAATGGACACAAACCTCCAAAATGCAATGTGTAATTTTCTCTCGAATTCTTTCATCCTCAATCTACCATTTCCTTCGTTTTGTTACTTACGGATGACCCTCCCTCTCTTCAATTCATTTTCTCAAATCTCATTGTTTCATTTTAATTAAGTACTAATAACTAACATTATTTTAGTTTTTGCAGCTCAGATCAATTCCATGAATGAGCAGGTGTATATTTATAATTGCATGTATTTTTGTTTGCTCGTGCATGGCCTTAGCCGTGTGTCACCAACAAGCAGACTGATTTTGTCAATTATATGTACTAAGTATTTTATTTATCTATTTTTTTAATTACTTCGTATTATACTCCGTATTGTTTTTGTGTTGTCCCTGCATTTACCTCACAGAGAAGTGAAGCCACGTAGCTTTTCCTTTGTCTACTGTTTTAGTTCTTAGCCACATGTCTTTTTAATTTATCAATTTATTAACTCATTATTTGTTTATTGTCATTGAGGTTAATTATCCAATTTATTCTAGAATTTTCCTTGTACGAAGGACTGACTCACCCGTTCTTGTTTTTGTAAAGTCCAAGATTGACGTACGTTATAAATTCAATATGATCTGATCATCTATTTTCTTTGCACCAATCAGATAAAAATATTTTTTCTTCTATTTAACAATATTAACATATCTTATAGTCACTTTAACTTTTACAATGTTAATGTTTTATCACTTGTTCGTTCTGTTATTAGCTAATTCTCTTACCTAGACCTCAACACTTAATTATTAATCTCACACAATTATCGGTCAATTGATTATCTTAGACTTGTATACGGCCTAATCCAACTGTGCGGTTACAATTTGTTAGCTTTTCACTACAATAAATAAATTTCTTAATTGGATTAGCTACTTAAATGCATAGATACGTACAAACAGGTAATTTGAATGGGTTAGCTTTTCACGATTTTGACTTAGTTTAGTCACATCGTCAAAAAGATAATTTGATTGAGTTGTTTCATTCTTTTTTTTAATCGTACTTTATTTTAGTATGCATTTAAATAACTAAAACACTTATCGAAAATATTATTTTTAATCCTTATATGTTTACATTTACTTTCACGCTTTTGTAAATTTTGAAGATGTTACACGTCTACTTTTAAAAAGCAATCGGATGAGTCAAAACGACCAATTAACAACCTTCTAATCCCTATTTTAGCTTACTCGTCGTTATTTTTGCTTTGTATTTAAGCCAATCGTGACCAAATCTTTCAAAACAATAGCCAGACGTACACTAAAATTGGAATTACGAGGTTGTCAACAGGTCGTTTTGACTTATCTGGTTGCTTTTTATAAGTAGACGTATTTATATGACATTTTATTGAGTACATGACCTTATGTAACGATTCTGTAATAGTAGAAGACATTATTTGACCCTTCTCCCTTTCTTAAATTTAATGATGTAATTGTTAAGAGGCAACTCTTTTGAAATATACTCATGAAAAAACAACCAAAACTCGCAGAATGAACACGTGTTTAATGAATGTACAAACGAACCTATATAAAAACTTCAATTACTAATTCTAGATTCACAAATAATGAAATAAAACAATGTATATCGGGAGAGCCAATTTTGTAGACATTTGTGTGGAAATAAATTGTCCGGGTCTAAAAGCAACATGGAAACACATATTATTCCGTTCGAGTAGGTAAGTCAATCACACCTTTATACGAAGTATATGATAAAAAAGATTATCTAATCCAAGTCATACTTTTTATGGTAATTTCCAAACAAAATTCATAGGAAAAAGAAGTGGATAGAATCTAAAAATCTAGATTAAGCTGATTCTTTAAGGCACGCCAAGTCAAATTACATCATCTTTACATTTAACAATTCAATGGTTAAATCAGTTTACCCTGTGTTCACACCACATGATAGCAACAATAAAAAAGATTAACAAGATCAAGCAAAGTCATCATTGACTTGATTATAAACTCCACACCCCTAAGGCGCCAACTACTTCCACCAGACCATGCATTCAAAGTTACATACACATATATACATAAACT